TAGGTTGGATGTATAAGGTTGGTGGACGTATTATTTTTGACGTATTAGGTTTGACGTAACTGTAGTGTGTTGGCAGGTGCTAGCACACCGTTGTATATGCCGCTGCTGTCACCCCCTCTCACGCCCCCACACCTCCCACCCACAAGATTAGATAAGCCAGGAACTCACGTCGATGAGGTCTGAATGTACCAATCGACCCTGGTCAGTTTAGAACGTTAGCGGCCATTCGTGTAACAGTTCGTGTCACCAGGTGGCGCTCAGTGTAACAGTAACATTTCATCAGAGTTTTTACACCCGATAAGAAAATTCGACGCAAAAAAATGGTTGAATGACTTCATTGATATACTGCCAGACGAAGCCACGCCCACATTTCATTCATGCCGCGGCCGGGTATCATGTGACCAATTGACCTCTGGGCCGACTAGAGCCCGGCCTGGGATGATACAGCACGCCACGAGGGGAGCTTTGATACACCCGGCCCTGACATCCAACTCGTGAATCAAAAGCCCTCGACATCGCCGCGGACAAGATTGACATTGTAACCCAACGCTGGTGTTTTGTGGCGTGTTGTTCAATGAACAGATTCATCAACTGCCTACCATACAGTCGTCTGAAATATCAGCAGATCTAACAGGTGTGTTCATGTCGTTCTCGCCTACCTGTCTTAACGTAACGTGGCTTCGTTAAAATCATTACATGTTTTTTTTTTCGCAAGACTAACGACCACGTAATAGTACCCCCCCCCCCCCCCCCCCCACCCAAAAAAACCGCCACTGCAACTGCGACATCAAAATTTGTAATGAAAAGCAAAACATTCGTGCTTGCATGGTATGACCTGGTGTTGATAAATGAGGTGACGTCTGCCAAAGTCCCCACACCAACCACCACCGCCAGAGAACTTCCCCACACCAACCACCACCGCCATACGGGTACACCTGGTTAGGTGTGGGTTAACCGGTTAGGGCAGGTGGTTAGACGTCATGGTACGAGGAGCTACCTGTAGGAAGATTAATTAATTAATACACTAATTGCCACTTTTTTTTTAACCCACTTAAAACTTTTAATAGTTGTTAATTCAAATAGAATTCTACGTCTGTTATTTATTTAAATGTGTGTTATACCATACTAATTCGTGTGGAATGTTTAACGTATTTAAAACACATAGAATCCCAAACTAAAAAGAATATCCATCTATAAAAGACATGCACGTTTGATCGTTGAATGATTGTAAGCTTATGTTTTTTTTTTGTTTTTTTTTTTTACCCAATAATCGAATACAGCTTAACTAGGCTGTAGTTGGTGGACATTTCCGTTGTCCAGTCGTGTCCAGGAGATTGCCGTTGTCCAGTCGTGTCCAGGAGATTTTTGTGATCTAAGAGATGCTCCTTGCCCGTGTCCCGCTACTGACAGTTGTAGGCCTAAGATCCACACATCACACGGAAACAATCTATGTCGGCTCACACGCTGAGATGGGCGTGGCACATGTAGACAGTGCCGGGACATGACCCAGGGGTACAAACAACATGTGTGGTGGATCTATTGAAAGACCGAGCTTTGTGCGTGGGGCCTTGGCTGGACAAGGTCTGAAGGTTCATGGTAGGCTGGTTATAACCAAGTGTTCAGTTGGTATATTGTAAAAAAAAAAAAGATAAATGTTTATGTACTTTATATTCATCTTTACCTAATTCTTTTTTTATATAACTAATTGTACTAATTAATTAACATATTAACGAGCCGAGTTGTGCCACTTGGCTGCAGAGGCGTAGCGACCCCTCCCGGCGCCCGGGGCGAACATTCAGTTTGGCGCCCCCCATATATATATATATATATATATGTATATATATATATATATGTATATATATATATATATATATATATATATATGTATATATATATATATATATATATATATATATATATATATATATATATACATATGCGTGTGTTTGTGTGTGCGACAGTCTGGAAAAAAATTAACAATTACGCTTATTATCGTTCCCTAAAATTTCACTGGACGCCAATTAAATTCCCCATAAGACGCCGAAACAAATAAAAAGTAGAAAATCAAAAGAGCTTAGAACAGTGGGCTCCATCGAACCCGAGAGGTCCGGTAATTCAGTCTCAGGGCTTTCGCGGAGGTCAAGACAGACACCCGGCTCATAAGATTCACGATCGGATTTTGTCGGTGTGGACGATACAACTATTAAAAAGTGTTCGATGATTGAAACTGGTAGGGTTTGGTACTCCAAAAAGTTAAGAACCACTGCTTTCGAGTGTATTTTGTAGAAGGTGCAAGCCTTATTTGGTCTACTTTTGGTCGTGTCTTCAGAACAATGTCGATAATAGTAGGCCAATATTGCAATTTTGAATTATCAGTTAGGTTGAACAAAGTAATAATCAGTACAATATACTAATTTTCTTCTCTCTTAACATTTTGGCAAAGAGTGTCGCTTCCCATCCACCCGCATCGGATAGCGATACAAGAATCTATTATATTTATTTCTCTTTAATGCAGTGATCCAGGCAAGATGTAATGCAATCAAGTAAAAGTATCTGATCTATCACGATGAAGTTGAGAGAATCGTAAGAATCGTACAAAGAACTATTCGCGCTATTACTTAGCAAAACTGGGTAGTGAAATCGTACATTAAGTGTTAATACAATACATTTCTTTTCTAAGTGTTAAAAGAGTTATCTAGCAACCGATCCAGTACAAATCCTGCGGGTTTTTTTTTTTTTGTGAAAAGGCACCCCACCATCTTGGACAAAAATGGTAGAGCGGATTCTTAAACGTCACTAACTTTTTTTTATGTTACACAATCGTAAAATACGCTTTAGTTCAATGGGTTTCTTTTCTGAGTGATATCGGTTATTTATTCCTTAATCCGGTGTGAATTTTTCCGATTTTAGTCTTCGAAAAAGCGCCCCCCCCCCATCTAGGAAAGCTGGAAAGCGGTTTTTCCGGTCACGGTTTCTTAAAGATATACGTTTTACAGTTACACAATCAAGGTAGAAAACAGTTAAATCAGTATGCAAAGGCTCTCAGCCGTTAAATTTTTTTACTTTGACTGTTTATAATTCAAAACTGCAGCTTAAAATGAGCTTTTAATTATTTTTTTCTACCCCTTTTGGCGCCCCCCGTAGGGTCGGCGCCCGGGGCGGCCGCCCTCCCCGCCCTCCCCTAGCTACGCCTCTGCTTGGCTGGTCAGCTCACTAGAAGCCTAACTACAACATACACCCATACACACGTATTTTTTCATGTCACACAAACCTAACCTGTCTGTTTATATGACACAAACAGACGGTGTCGTATTAAATTAATTCCCAGTACATTTTCCCACGGTGTCTGCTTGATTTAGTCATGTTCATTTGGCAGTTGGATATTTTGTTTTGGAAAGGGAGCTGACAGGTTTTAAAGCATTACATTTTAGACAAAAACCTGGAACAACATAGGTTTCAAACTGGCAAACAGACCGAAGACATAATTAGCCACAACGCGACATTGTAAAAGAAAGAAAAAAAATCGGCTGTACAAAAATCATGGATTGTTTTGTTTTTTTTTGGCTTCTCTTGTAAACGAAAACCTGGCCACTTCAAAAAAATCCCTTTGAAGATTATTCAAACCCTTGAGTTATCTTCCCTTGAAGGAAAGAGTTGTTTCGGTATCTATCAGGGGTATACACTGGCCGTCTGCTTATATAAGACCCCCCCCCCCCCCCCACACACACACACAAAGAGGTTCTCAGACTTTATCTCTCTAGCGAACAATTTTGATTTGATGAGGGGATCTGTACAATATAAAACTAGCACCAGTAAAATTAATTCTTTGTTTTATTATGTGTGTGTGTGTGGGGGGGGGGTATAGCACTGGATTTCTTCCACAAAAACTACTAACATTAGCCTTCTTTTGTCGAAATGAAATTAACTTTCAATTGAAACTTCAACATCAAGACCGGGTGAGTTTTATCCATACATACAAAACATTCGGCGTATGTGACATACCACCCTCCCCCCACTTCTACACATAAACACGTGAAAAGTTTAACCGACATATGCCACACTCATGTCAACCTATGTATGGCTAGCCTATTCAGGTTCTTACATGAGAATAATTTTTATTGTTGGATTAAAAACAATCAAACCTGAACCACTTTCGTAGAATGTAGATCTTTTTTAAACTTCGCACTGACAGTTGTGTTTATCTGTCATTGTTTTGTCAGTCTTTTGTCATGCGCGCCTGCCCTCTGTCTGTCATTCAACAAACTTTTGTTGGACGCCGTCTGTCATTCAACAAACTTTTGTTGGACGCCGTCTGTCATTAATAAAAAAAACTGAACCCAGATGTTGTATCCAAACGTCCACAGCAAGAGGTCGCTGGATCAAATCTCCCCGTACCCTGGGCCGCGACCCAACCGTCACCAAGATCAGGTCACCAACAGTCACCAAGATCAGGTCATTAACAAAACCATCCATCACGTGACACGGGAAAACCATCACCTTTTCTGTCAGACGATTAACTTAATCCTTGGACAAACTGGGCTATAAATCTCGTGGTATCTCGTTGTTTCTATAAATCTCTTGGTATCTCGTTGTTTCTATAAATCTCTTGGTATCTCGTTGTTTCTATAAATCTCGTGGTATCTCGTTGTTTCTATAAATCTCGTGGTATCTCGTTGTTTCTATAAATCTCGTGGTATCTCGTTGTTTCTATAAATCTCGTGGTATCTCGTTGTTTCTATAAATCTCGTGGTATCTCGCAGCGAATATTTCTAAAATATGTTTTAAAAATAATTAGTTTACTAAACAAAATTTTATTTTTGCTGGAAATATTCTTCTACATTATGTTTGTGTTTTGTATATAAAAAAATGCACTCATTTTACATACGTTTTTTTAAATTCTTATTTAGGAAACCAATTAATCTTTAAAATTATTTTTGTCTAACCTTGATTCAAGATTAGAAGAAAAAAAAACTAATTTATTTTGGGTATTATCTCCCCAGGAGGATGTAGAGTTAACACCTGTCGTCTCACCTGGTTCAAGTTTACCGTCACCTGTTGCCCAACACTCAGGTGAGTCTTGTAAACTCTGGACGTGCAGACATACGTCTGCTACACACCTCAGCTGTATTGAAGCTTAGAGGTAACCTAACAATCGATACTTAATCTCTCTCTCCCCCCCCCCCCCCTCCCGGACATTACTTTGGTAAATACAGGTTCAATCCTTTCAAATATATATATTAAGAAGATCAATAATAATGGTTGGGTTATTTTAATTTTTTCATTTTTGTCTTCAAGTCTCTCAAAGAAAAGACCACCTGTAATAAAAACATGTCAATCTGAAAGACCCTAATCCAATGTCCTGGTCAATAATTTCATTTTATCTTACAACAGTCTCAGCAGTTGACCACACGTCGACAATGACGGGCGAAAACTCCATCGAGCCGGGATCGAAAACAATGGACACCGACGCGGAAGTCATCAACAACAACAACATTGTCATGAAGTCAACCTCCACCCTACAACTTGTCACCGCGCCCCAACCCACGCCCCACCCCGCGCCTGGGGTGCGCACCTTCCACGTGAACAAGGAGGAGGACGGGACCATCACGATGCAGGCCGGTGCGGCTGACGAGAACCAGAACCGCGTCATCACGGTGCGCACCAAAAAACAGCGCACGCCCAGTAACGCGGACGAGGAACTAAAAGACAAGATCGTCAAGAAGACGATGGTGTCCCCGGGGGGTGCCGTGATTGAAGAGACGGGCGTCGTCCACACCAAGAAGAGGATCACCTCCAGGGGCTCTAACTACTTCACACGGAGGGAGTACACGACACGGACCCGGAGGGACAAGGAGGGGGGCGAGACGGTGGAGCATGACGTCACTGTGGAGACGGATAACAAGTCGGTCAGTCAAGGTCAGTCGTGGGGCGACAAGGTCGTCACTCGGGTCAACCTAGAGGATGCTAAAACTGTCAATGGATTATCGTCCGTGCAGTCTGTGGATGATCTCCCTTTCGCTGATGAGGAAGACACACCCGCTGAAGCCATTCCTAGACCGGAAGTAGCCAGCTCCAATAAACAGCTACACCTTACAGGTAAGCCAAAACTGTTGTCTTTATAGATTATTATTAGATTTTCTATTATCATTATATCAATTTTTTGTTCCTTTAATAGTTTCAAATTTCATACGGACTAATATATTGTCATATTTTTCTTATATGTCTGTCCCTTGGTTCAGAAGCTTTTTATTATTGAGTACTTTAGTTATTATGTCGGTACTTTCATTTCATGAACTTGTGCGCCGACTCAGCCATAATTAGTACATGTCCTAGTATTGAGAAGTGAGAAGACTAAATTCTAGACTAAATAAAAAAGACCACTTCTCCTGTCAAACCTGACCCCCTTGAGTTAAATGTGTTCAAAAAGTTAGAACGAGCATTGCAAATCTCCAGATCTCTTGACCTCCCTGTAGTCTCTAGTCCTGTCGATTGTAACTACAGTTCAATCGATTTTCTCTCATTCTTCATCGAATCTAACTCAAAATCTAAATTATATTCTGTATGAGCATATGATTTGAAAGTTTGATCTAGCTAACTCAGCAGAACTGGTGCACACAACATTACCAAGCCGGTAGTTGTGTAAACAATCTTTGGTTTTGTTGATGTCCAGAACAAAAACTTTGAGAAGGAAGTCACAGGGTTGGTCTGGCCCTAATCCCTGACCACGTCTGGACATCACGTCCACCTTTTGGTCTGATCCTTTGCTTATTTAAACTCTCCGTCATCCTACAGGGGTTGACATGGTCTAGGGTAGTCTTCTGTGCTAGTCTGTCCTTGGATTATCTACTATTTCACGATTGCGTCCCATTAATATCAATCTGTTTACAATCGCAAATAATTGTTTTACGTCAATTTCAAACGTTTTGTGTTCAGTGTAGTAGAGTTTTAGAATAGGAATGTAATTATTCAATGGACTAGCTGTAGGCAAGTTAAATATAGTCGTGGGTTGTCGAACCTGTTTCAAAAACTGCCATCAAAGGAATGCAAGTCGGGACCTATATTTTTATGTGACACCTCATGATGAGTAATTCTAAATTTGTGAGTGTGTTCCATGTCACGCTTCTCTCCCCTGTGATGCAGGTAACAACAGGTACTGTCCCATTTACACTACCCATTTAAGTAATGGCCGTTTGTAATAACATTACATCGCAGGTCTGCTGTTGGTAGTTTTACTAAATCTGCCACCCCCCCCCCCCCTCACCACATCCGTGTACCCAAAAGTTAAAGTGTACTTAGCCTTAATGGGATCAACCATTATGTAAAAAAAGGTGAAGCATCTATGTTGAGTTGACCTTTAATTTAAACCCAGCGAAACCTTTTCCAAATTTACACAAGACGTCCCGCCGTGCAGTTTTCATAAACTTCTGTTTGAAGTTGACTTAACATAATTACCCCCCCCCCCCTCTCTCTACTACCTGCCCCGGGGACCTAAAGCTCCATCTTTACCCAAGCTCCGTGCCCACACAATCTACACATAGCCCCAGTGTTGATACACGATTTTAATTTTCGTTATGCAATCAGTTTTATTTGTTCGTCTTTTGTTACATAAGTGATGATTTTTATCGCTGTCGTCTCTCTGTAGATCTACGGGTAATTTAAATTTGTGATTGTCGGAAATGTAAAATATTGTGTTTGACGGAGTTAAATTAGCTTTTCATGGCGCAGTTATAAATGTGAGGCAAGGTCTTGCTTGATGTAGCACACTGTTATATATAATTATCTGCCCTTGTTGTTTGCTAAATGTCTGAATATATTATGCCTCATTTGCCCTACCACAGATCTGATTTTTTTTCTATGTCCTGATGTTATATTATGCCCTAAGTTATATTCTTTTGTCTAATGTGTTATCCTTAAGTCCTGTCCTTTTATATGTCCTGGATCATATTATGTTATGTCCTATTCTCAAGTCCTGAGTCCTGTTCTTTTGTCCTAAGTTCTATTCTGATGTCCTATGTCCTTTCTGTTCGTCCCTTGCTCTGTTCTTGTAAGTCCTATTCTTAAGTCCTAAGTCCTATTCTTGTCCCGAGTCCTACTACCACAGCTCATATTACTTCCACAGGACCGCCGGAAGTATCCCAAGCCCTGAAGGACATGGACGCCCTAGAGGGGCGCCAGGTCGTCCTGGAGTGCCGCATCAAATTCCCCGACACGCCCCACATAATCTGGTTCAAGGACGGTCAGGAGCTCACAGAGGCTGACCTTTACATTGGCCGCTACGACGAGCTGACCGGCAGGGCCACGCTGACCATTCCAGACGCCACCACCTTCGACACCGCCCTGTACACCTGTGTGGGTCAGAACCAGGTGGGGGAGGCAAGGACACAGTGTAGAGTCGTCATCAAAAGTAGGTGCAGGGGGGTGATGTCATCAAAAGTAGGTACAGGGGGGTTCATGTCATCAACTGTTGGTACAGGGGGATCATGTCATCAACTGTTGGTACAGGGGGATCATGTCATCAACTGTTGGTACAGGGGGTCATCAAAAGTAGGTACAGGGGTCATGTCATCAACTGTTGGTACAGGGGGGTCATGTCATCAACTGTTGGTACAGGGGGATCATGTCATCAACTGTTGGTACAGGGGGGTCATGTCATCAAAAGTAGGTACAGGGGGTCATCAAAAGTAGGTACAGGGGGGTCATGTCATCAAAAGTAGGTACAGGGGGGTCATGTCATCAAAAGTAGGTACAGGGGGTCATCAAAAGTAGGTACAGGGGGTCATGTCATCAAAAGTAGGTACAGGGGGGTCATGTCATCAAAAGTAGGTACAGGGGGGTCATGTCATCAAAAGTAGGTGCAGAGGGTCATGTCATCAAAAGTAGGTGTTGGGGGGGGGGTCATGTCATCAAAAGTAGGTGCAGGGGGGTCATGTAATCAAAAGTAGGTGCAGGGAGGTCATGTCATCAAAAGTAGGTGCTGGGGGGGGGTCATGTCATCAAAAGTAGGTGCAGGGGGGTCATGTCATCAAAAGTAGGTGCAGGGGGGTCATGTCATCAAAAGTAGGTGCAGGGGGGTCATGTCATCAAAAGTAGGTGCAGGGGGGTCATGTCATCAAAAGTAGGTACAGGAGGGGTCATGTCATTAAAATTAGGTACAGGGGTCATGTCATTAAAATTAGGTACAGGGGTCATGTCATCAACTGTTGGTACAGGGGGGTCTTGTCATCAAAAGTAGGTGCAGGGGGGTCATGTCATTAAAAGTAGGTTCAGGGGGGTCTTGTCATCAAAAGTAGGTACAGGGGGGGTCATGTCATCAAAAGTAGGTGCTGGGGGGTCATGTCATCAAAAGTAGGTACAGGGGGGGTCATGTCATCAAAAGTAGGTGCAGGGGGTCATGTCATCAAAAGTAGGTACAGGGGGGTCATGTCATCAAAAGTAGGTGCTGGGGGGTCATGTCATCAAATGTAGGTGCTGGGGGGGTCATGTCATCAAAAGTAGGTACAGGGGGGTCATGTAATCAAAGTAGGTACAGGGGTCATGTCATCAAAAGTAGGTTCAGGGGGGGTCTTGTCATTAAAAGTAGGTACAGGGGTCATGTCATCAAAAGTAGGTTCAGGGGGGGTCATGTCATCAAAATTAGGTACAGGGGTCATGTCATCAACTGTTGGTACAGGGGGGTCATGTCATCAAAAGTGGGTACAGGGGGTCATGTCATCTAAAGTAGATTCTGGGGGGTCATGTCATCAAATGTAGGTGCTGGGGGGGTCATGTCATCAAAAGTAGGTACAGGGGGGGGTCATGTAATCAAAGTAGGTACAGGGGTCATGTCATCAAAAGTAGGTTCAGGGGGGGTCTTGTCATTATAAAAGTAGGTACATGTGGGGATCATGTCATCAAAAGTAGGTATAGGGGGTCATGTCAAAGTAGGTATAGGGGGGTCATGTCATCAAAATTAGGTACAGGGGTCATGTCATCAACTGTTGGTACAGGGGGGTCATGTCATCAAAAGTGGGTACAAGGGGTCATGTCATCTAAAGTAGGTGCAGGGGGGTCATGTTATCAAAAGTAGGTACAGGGGTCATGTAATCAAAAGTAGGTACAGGTGATCATGTCATTAAATGTTGGTGCGGGGGGTCATGTCATCAAAAGCAGGTACTGGGGGTCATGTCTTTAATTTTAAGCAAAGTAGGGGTTGTGTCAACATAAAAGTTAAATGTATTTAAACATAAGTTGAGGTGTGTGGTAGTTAGAGAGGGGGGGGGGGGGGCAAGTCATCAATAGTAGATAGATAGTCATGAGCTATGTCATTAAAATTAGGTTGATATAAAACACGAGAGGTTATGTCATAAAAATCAAGTATACCGAAGGGGGCCCATGTCAATAAGAAAGTTAGTTGAGGGTAGTGGGGGGTCATGTCACCATGAGAAGACACTTGTAGTTAGAAGACAGGTAACGGGAGGTACCGCTACAGGAGAGGTTGGAAGGGAGGTAACCGATGGCACGTCGAGTGGTGTAGTTGTGAGATGTAACAAAAACTCGACCACTCATCGCGGCTTTTTTTTTTTCTCACCCCCTCCCCCCCCCCCCCCCCCATATTCATGCCTATCCCTAGTTTCATGCCTGTCTGGTCGTGTTAAATCATATCATCTATTAATTAGCCTGAATCAACCAGCGACCTTGGAGGTTGTGAAGTGAATGAAAAAAAGGGGGGTGGGAGGGTGGTTGGGTGGCGGTAGCTAGTGTTGAGTCCTTTCAAATGTAAATTTTGAATGTCTAAATTTAGACCACAAATGTGTGTTTAATTAATTAAAAGAAAAAACATACCACGTGACGCCCGTCAAGATTTACCCGCTCTTTAGCAGACGCCTGTTTGCCATGCATGACTCAATCAAACGACCAGAGATTAAAACTCAAACACGATTTCAGGACCTCTGGTCGCATGACAGCAAATTACACAGCTAAAAATTACTTCGGAATTTCCCCTAACCACTGTTTGACGAATTTAAACAGATCAAGTTTTTAAAGAAAAAAACTGCTAATTCATTTTCAGCTATTTTGGTTAAAATTTAATGTCTACGTTTTTCCAAAGAGGTCTGAAATTAGACCACCCCTCCATTACATACCTCCAATTTTCACCTGTAGTTTTACATAAACAAATTGCCGTCATCACCTCTTACTTTACCGACCCTTTCCACCCCCACCCCTTTACCAGCCCCTAATCCCAGTGCTCACATACTCAGCTCTCTCCCCCCCCCCCCCCACCCACCCACCCCCTTTAGCAGCCCCTAATCCCAGTGCTTACATAGCTCTACTCCACCCAGGGAGGCCGGACAACGTACCTGTCTTCGAGAGGGGCCTGTGTGACGTCACCGTGGCCGAGGGCAACTCTGTCCTGCTGTCGTGTCACGTGACGGGGGCCACCAGCGTGACCTGGCAGAAGAATGGCGTGCCCCAGAAGCACTCGCAGGATGCCAGACAGAGCTTCGACGGGCGCGAGGCTCGGCTGGAGATGAGTGACGTGTACGTTGATGACGCGGGGCTGTACTCGTGTCTGGCCCAGAACGAGGCTGGGGTTCAAACCTCGTCGTGCGAGCTTATTGTCAAGGGTAGGTCAAGCTCAAGGTCATTGTCAGAGTTGCCACTCTCTTTTAGAATACGGAAGTTTTTGGTGTAGGTCGTGGTTTACTGGAGGGGGGGGGGTATCATTGTCAAACTGATAAACGGGTTTAAGTACTAGAACGCCATATAAGGAGGAATTTGATAAAGATAAGTACGTGTGAAAAGGAATGTCTAGGAATTTTTTTTACTAATGAAAAAACAACCAACCCAGTTTCCACTGGGTAGGTTTTACGATGATGCTGACATAAAAATGGACCATTAATTTTTATGTTAGGTGGCTTGTATTTTAGGAACATAACTCATTTAAAAAGATAAACAAATACAGTATAAGTTACTTCCCCTGTCTAGTTATTTATAAATTAAACATCAAGACTCCCTGATTTCCCTATCTACCAGCCAGTGGATCTGAGAGTACAGTGGTCCCCATGTTCTTGACCAAGCTGACCAACGCCACCGTGTATGACGGGGAGAGTCTGATCTTGGAATGTGAGGTCGTAGGGTCACCTGAACCCAACGTCTTCTGGTTGAAGGACGGCAAAGACCTTCCACAGGACCTAAGCTTCAGGTAAAGACCTTCCACTAAGCTTCAGGTAAAGACCTTCCACTAAGCTTCAGGTAAAGACCTTCCACTAAGCTTCGGGTAAAGACCTTCCACTAAGCTTCAGGTAAAGACCTTCCACTAAGCTTCAGGTAAAGACCTTCCACTAAGCTTCAGGTAAAGACCTTCCACTAAGCTTCGGGTAAAGACCTTCCACTAAGCTTCAGGTAAAGACCTTCCACTAAGCTTCAGGTAAAGACCTTCCACTAAGCTTCAGGTAAAGACCTTCCACTAAGCTTCAGGTAAAGACCTTCCACTAAGCTTCAGGTAAAGACCTTCCATTAAGCTTCAGGTAAAGACCTTCCACTAAGCTTCAGGTAAAGACCTTCCACTAAGCTTCAGGTAAAGACCTTCCACTAAGCTTCAGGTAAAGACCTTCCACTAAGCTTCAGGTAAAGACCTTCCACTAAGCTTCAGGTAAAGACCTTCCACAGGACCTAAGCTTCAGGTTGGCTAGGAGTTTTCTTTTAGACTTTTATTTGATTTTAGACCTGTACTGAAAACAAAATGGCATATTAAAATAATACATACGCTTGCTGATTGGTGTAACTATTTTTTTTAAATCCAAAAAAAAATTATTTGGATACATTAGGGATAAAACAGTCCTGATTGGTTAATTTTATTTTTAGCACCGCCTACGATGGACGCCAGGCCAACCTTGACCTTACAGGTCTGAGAGCAGAGGACGCTGGGAGGTACACGTGCGTGGCCGAGAATTCTGGGGGCAAGGTCACACAGGACGTTTTTGTCACAGTTCAAGGTCAATATTTGTTTTGTCTCTGCCGTCTTTTAAAATGACTTAAAATTATATGGTTGCTATTCCATTTTCAAAAGCAAATAGAACAGATTCTTCTGTAACAAAAACCACAGTCTGACATTTAAGGTATTGATTTGAATATGCACGATACAGCTTTCCCTGGCAATGATCGTAGTCCAAATCTCAGTTTGTAAAGGATGACAATGTTTTGGTCAGCCCAGGTAATCAAATGTCCAACTCTGTAGAACTTTGGCCTTGGATATATATGTAAGATACACATTTAAAAGACTCGTTAATTTGGCTCTGGCTGTCTTATGTAATTTTTGTTACAGTTCACGATGTAACACATCAGAATTAAAGTGTGCATTGATTTTGTCTAACTGTGTTCCTACAGTGACCACACCCCCAAGTTTCACCTGTAGCTTACAGGACGTCACCACGACCCCAGGGAAGGGTGTGCTGCTCAGGTGTGAGGTGTCAGGTGTTCCCCAGCCAACGGTGGCCTGGAAGAAAAACGGGGCCATGCTGGGGATGACCAACAATTACATTCACTCCTACAACAACGGGGTGGCCAGACTAGAGGTGTTGGCCACTGGGGTAGAAGATTCTGGAAGATACGAGTGTGTGGCCAGAAATGTGGTTGGCGAGAGGTCGTGTGGCTGTGTGCTTACAGTTCAAGGTGAGGATGTGATCACATTACTGCAGTGGTCCTCATTTTGTGGTTACCTTAGCACCCATCAACTCTCTAACTTGTGCATGCTGTACATCAATACTTTTATAAGTTAAATAGGCCTACGTTTCACTTTTAGTGATTTTTTTTTCAAAATTGCAATAATATAAGAAAAAATGTTCGGTAATATACCTGTACATCTATATATATCTAAAAGATAAAAGCGGGTAATTAATAATTAAATGACCCCCCTAATTTCTACCAGCTCTCAAGGCTGTGGAAACCAGAGCACCTCAGGAGGAACAGGTGACAGTGGCGCCCCCACAGGTGAGGAGGGTCTTCAAGAAACTCTCCGACCCAACACCTGTGTCCATCATCTCATCCATGCTGCAGAAGGCGGAGACAAAACCTGCAGATGTCACATCAACCCTGCCCAGACCTGCAGGTCTCATATCAACCCTGCCCAGACCTGCAGATGTCATATCAACCCTGCACAAACCTGCAGATGTCACAGCAACCCTGCACAAACCTGCAGATGTCACATCAACCCTGCCCAGACCTGCAGATGTCACATCAACCCTGCACAAACCTGCAGATGTCACAGCAACCCTGCACAAACCTGCAGATGTCACATCAACCCTGCCCAGACCTGCAGATGTCACATCAACCCTGCACAAACCTGCAGATGTCACAGCAACCCTGCACAAACCTGCAGATGTCACATCAACCCTGCCCAGACCTGCAGATGTCACATCAACCCTGCCCAGACCTGCAGATGTCACATCAACCCTGCCCAAACCTGCAGATGTCACGTCAACCCTGCACAAACCTGTAGATGTCACATCAACCCTGCACAAACCTGCAGATGTCACACCAGACCTGCCCAGGGCAGAACCCAAACCTGCAGACATCATCACATCCGTCCTTAAGAGGGCGTCCACTGTCCAAAGGTCGCACACATTTACCCCAGGCTCCAGAACATTCCAGCAGAGCACTGTAGAGGTCAGCAGGGAAAAGGTGGATAACTCTGGTCTACAACAGCCGGAGAGAATTGTCGCCCCACAACCTGTCGGCGTCGTCAGGACGACCACTTCCATGACAACCCAGTCAACAACAGCTCGCGACACATCTGGGGCCGATAACCGGGTCCTCGCTAGTGCTGCTAGTCTGGAACTTAAAAAACACGAGGCCCCGCCTGTGTCCTTGACCTTCAGCCCGAGCCCGGCACCGAGGGCGACAAATCTGTCGAGATCTGTGTCCTTGCACGTGGTTAGAACCAGCGCCACGTCACCAGAGAACAGCTCGCCCGGCGTCAAACCGGGCAAGTCGCCATCAAGGGAGAGCATCGCCAAAGCAGGTTCCCTTGAAGTGATTACAGAGTCAGTGCCCTTGCATCTGATCCCCGGGTACCGGTCCGTCTCGCCCCACTTTCTTACCTCCCCTGACAAACATCTATCCAGCAGTGACAGCAACATTGGTCAAGCTCCGGTCACCCGACTGGACGCCTCACACAGTCAGACATTGTCCGGATCTTCTTCCTCGTCCTCTGTGGATAACACGTCATCTAGTTCCTCATCTTATAAACAGTTGTCTACCTCATCGTCACACCTCACAACCACAGCATCAACAGCATCACCATCCTTGAGGTCATACAACAACACAGACGATAATACGTCAACAGCATCCACGAGAGTTGAAAGCACCGTCACGTCTACCTCATCCTCTCTAAGGATAGACAATACGCCAACAGCATCTTCAACGGTACACAACAACACATCCACAGCATCACCCAGCACACAGACTGAGCACAGCAACACGCCCGTGACCAAACTGTCCAGGGTTGGTCAGCTCCAGCGCCAGTTCCTGCAGAATGACCAGGCGGCGTCCAGAGACCAGCAGACGACAGGGGTGGGGGTCAGGAGGTGGCACTCCCTGCCTCCCCAGGAGTCCAGGCCAACGGTCATCAAGGTAAGGCTGGGGTGCTGTAAACATGGGCTCTCACGATAGTTGTGGTTCTATACAGTCGGTGGGTGGGTGGGTGTGTAAAATAGGGGTCAACGCTCTCTCGTCTACCGCCTGCCTTTGGTGGTCGAGTCGGTAAAGCTCATGGTTGCTTAACCGAAAAGTCTCGAGTTCGAACAAGGCAGATGAGGCTGGGGACAGCCACTCTTCTAGGAGAGACAACTCCAAAATCAAACAACTGCTGCTTTGTAGTTTGTTCTTGGTTGGACAAAGGCTATGAAAGTAAATCCAAAAAGAAAAGCAGGCTCAAATCGGAGTCAATGGCCTCAATGGCGCATAACCATGAAATTAAAACATGAACCAAACACAGACACAAATTTACACACAACTTACATCCTTAGGTAAAAACTTACGCACAAACCAAATGTACTGTACATCCAAACATGCATACAAACATTCCAAACCTCAGCTTAACTTCACCAAGCGCAGGCAAACCATCAATCCAACATGTCTTGCCGTCCGCTATAAAATCGCTGGCAGATTTAGTATGGATAAAGTTTTATTAAAGCACGACTTACAGGTAGCAATACACTAGTGGACATTGATCGGAGTCAGGGGTCATTTTGTCCAAGTTCACTTAGCCATATGTCTGACTGCCTGGTCGCATTGAGTCCGATCTATCGGAGACGTATAATGAAAATAAAACGTTCAAAGTAAAAGCCAGTTTTTGCCTCTGTTTAAAAAAAACCACCATCTCATACATTCAGGTATTCCATACTTGACCTGTCCCGTGTTAAAATGTTTACCTGCCGGCCTCATGTTTACCTGGCTTGCAATACCTGTGTACAGGTAATTCTTGCGTAACCCGTGTGTTGAGAGGTGTTCCGGCCTGACTATCCCTCAAATTATTTTTTTTTAATTTGAAAAACCTCCCGTATAATTTTAAAACAAATTCTTTTCTCTAAGATGAATCCCTGATTACCTTGTTTATCATTTTGGTACGTGCTGTGGTCGGTATGACCCTTTGTTGGTCAGTCCATAAGTCTGTTTGTCTGTCATATGGACCGCTAGTCTGCTATAGTCCAACTGTGTAGTTTGAAGTTTTTAGCTCACTCAGTTCACCTAACACGTTTATCAACATCCAAAGGAGCTCACAAACATGGTGCTTTAAAAACATAAATTCCATACAACACAGTGCCGACACCTCACCCCTACACATACACCTCACCCCACCCTAGACATACAATAGATATACGCCACCCTGTACCGACACCACCTACAGATACACATCATATACCCCACCCTTTACCTACACCCCCCCCCCTATACCAACACCCCCCCCCCCTAGAGATACACACATTAAGTCCCACGCACGTACACAATAGAGAACTTTAAAATAGGTCGCCGACTGTTTCTGTTTGTAAAATGAGAACCCAACGCCCCCACACCACCTCCCCACACCACCAACGCCCCCACACCACCTCCCCCACACGAGTACCTCCCCCACACCACCACCTCCCCCACACCACCACCGCCAGAAACAAGGCGCACACTCTGGAATAGGAATTGCCTGCTATAATTAGACATTCCAAAGTTGTGATTCCCACCGGGGCTACACGATTAACAAAAGTTTCAAAATAACGAAACAATTTCAGCGGTGAAGTGGTTAGAAACAAATTGTCTCGTAATTCTCTGGGCGAGTCACGTGTTGGACTGTTGATCTACTGTAACAACTGGCGGTGTTCTGCCTTAGGTGGGGCTCTGGTTTAGTTGGGGCTCTGGTTTAATTGGGGGTCTAAATTAGTTGGGCTCTGAATTAGTTGGGCTCTGGTGTAGGTGGCGCTCTGAATTAGATGGCGGTGTTATGTCATTGATGGGGCTCTGATATAGGTGAGTTTGCTGGTAAAGCTAATTGGTGAGTTCTATACAATGACAGCTAACTGGTCAGTGACTAAATGTTGCACACCTCAGTCACCACCCAGAGATCACCAGTCTCACAGGTGACAGCCTGATGTCAATTTGAATATCGGGTTTTGACATCTGTAAGGTGTGACATTTGGTCGTGAGATGTGACATTTGGTCACGAGGTGTGACATTTCGTCACGAGGTGTGACATTTGGTCGAGCCCTAGACGAGCATGTCGGACCCCTTGTCTGCTTGCTGCCAGTATATCTAAAGACAGAAACGAGAATGCCAGACCTGGCTAATTAACGGGGTCATCCCATAGCTAATTACAACGTCATCCTTCATCTAAGCACAACAATTTTAAAAAGTATGTAGGGTTTCATTGCTTTACGAAAACTGTACGCGAGATCCTCTAGGTTTTTTTAGCGTAGGGGAGGGAGGTGGAGAGTAGAGTTCAATCTGCTCGTGTATCTTTTTTTTTTACTTCTGGAAGCTTCTAGAAATAGAAAACAGCATGAACCGGTTGTTTCCCTTTCCAGCTACCTGTTGGTTACCTGTTGGTTACCTGTTGGTTACCTAGGAAACTGCCAAGACGGCGATTGTATTAGCTCCCTATATTTTGCTAAAAAAAAAAAATTTTCCTTGAGAAAAAATCTGTACGCTACGAATATAAGTGAACGATTTTTAGCCTTGTTATTGTCGTAGTTAACCTACTTACTCAACTTCCGGTACCAGCTGGTATATCAACTTCCGGTACCAGCTGGTATATCAACTTCCTGTACCAGCTGGTATATCAACTTCCGATACCAGCTGGTATATCAACTTCCTGTACCAGCTGGTATATCAACTTCCGGTACCAGCTGGTATATCAACTTCCGGTACCCGCTGGTATATCAACTTCCGGTACCAGCTGGTATATCAACTTCCTGTACCAGCTGGTATATCAACTTCCGGTACCCGCTGGTATATCAACTTCCGGTACCAGCTGGTATATCAACTTCCTGTACCAGCTGGTATATCAACTTCCGGTACCAGCTGGTATATCAACTTCCGGTACCAGCTGGTATATCAACTTCCGGTACCAGCTGGTATATCAACTTCCGGTACCAGCTGGTATATCAACTTCCGGTACCAGCTGGTATATCAACTTCCGGTAGCAGATGGTATACATCCCTGGTTAGACCCCAGACTTCCTGTCTATAGAATAAATAAATAAAATTTATTTTTTGGGGTGTTAAAACAACAACATGTTCAGATTAGGATGCGTGTGTCATTACGATGTTTGTAAACTAAATACAAAATATTGTTGTATCTTATATTTTTTGTAGCGATTTTAACATTACATTAGACCTCGTCTCATTAAATATCTTACTTAGTGGCATTGGCCTCAGGGATTCAGTATCAAACATCTTTTCGGCTCCGTTCATATAGTTTCGGCTTCTCCCAGATCTTCACGGCTCGTCCTACATTATTGCGGCTCCTCACATATTTTTTTTCGTCCCCTCTCATAATATTTTGGTACCTCCCACATCTCGGCTCCTCCCACATAATTACATCTCCTCCCACATCTTTTTCCCACTCCCTCAATATATTGGCTCCTCTCACGTCTTCTCTGCTCCTCCCACGTCTTCTCGGCCCCTCTCACATGGTCAAGGGCTCTGCTTCTGTACCATCGCCATAGCGGCCCCTAAATCCCCACGACTTCCCTCTCCTACACGTCTCCGTCCGTACAAGATCTCCCACAAAAACAAAAAACGACTGGCACCAAGCGTTGCATGCCGAGATGGGGTTTTCCCGAAAAGTTGCCACCACAAAGGTTTGTTGTACGTGGCTAGAGACTCGATGATATCAGCTATTTCAACACATTATCCACTTCCGCTAGACAAACAACTCGCCTCTTGTGGGGCCCTGCACGTCATCTTGTGGACATTAGACGTGACGTAGGGCTGACATAAAACATGACGTATTTTAAGGGCGCCTGACGTCAAATGAGCTAAAGGTCAAAGGGTAATTGGCATAAGAATATGGGGGGTCATCATAAAACATACTTGACATGTGTAAGTGTCCCAGACTCGACCACTAGCTCACCACACTGGACCACTAGTCAGCTTACCCTGAGTCCCACCCACACCAATGTTGAACTGCACACACACACACATACACACACACACAACCACCACCACCACCAGCAACTTTAAAACATCGCCAACGAATTCAGCGCAAACCTTCTCGGCCAACATTTCTGTCATGCACTGAAATGTTTGCTAAACAAACACATTTCTTACTCACCAATCTGAAAACACATGTTTGCAGTTAAAGTAAACATTTCACACACCATTTGAATCGACTGCATGCACACGTCAGACTTCTGCTGAAAGCTTCAATCTTTTCATACAAAATTTAATTGAAAAAAAAAGTTTTCTTACATACCCGTGTCTACTTAAGACGATTGATGAGTAAGCCACAATGTTGTTGACTGGTTTAAACCTTGGCTCTGTGCTCATTAATTTTTTTCGCGTGGTGTTTGATTTCTATTTTTAGATTGAATTCAGTCAACATTTGAGCGGATTTTAGTTTGCTTTCTCGTCTTTTGATAGAGTGGGGTAACGTTAGTGGTTGGGTAGGGACGGTAGGGGTCTTATGGGGTCAGAGGAAGGGCGGGGGCAGCAGGGGTCTTATGGGGTAAGTGGAAGGTTGGGGACAGCAGGGGTCTTATTATGGGGTTAATGGAAGGGTTGTAAAAGTAGAGGTGTTAACATTGAAGTCGTTGGATAGATTTTTAAATTATTGGTGATTACATAGGGGTCAGTGAAAGGGGTCTTATAGCAGTAAATTAAATCAGACTTGCACTTTCCTGGATCAAACCCGTGCAACTAACCTAGCATTACCTGGTCCAACCTTTACCTGGACAAACTTTCACCTGTAGGAATCTTCCCCCCCCCCCACCCCCTACCAAACCAGATCCCCTCAGACGTCATCGTCCGCCATGTTCAGCCCATCCCATAATACCCATCTCGTTTACCTTTCCAATTTTATGTCACCTGACATTGTTATAGCCCCACCCCAGCCCCCACCCCAGCCCCCACCCCATCCCAGCCCCC